GGACTCGATCCCGATGCGGACTCGATCCCGATGCGGGACTCGATCCCGATGCGGGACTCGATCCCGGGACTCCAGAATCATGACCTGAGCCGAAGGCAGTCGCTTAACCAACTGAGCCACCCAGGCGCCCCAGGAGCCCCCTACTTCTTACTGAGGCCCTCACCTCTCACTGAGTCCCTCATCCTCTCTACATTCTCTTTCCCTCTTTGAGCCCCTGACCCTTGCTAAGGATCAGTCCCTTTTATCTTGAGAAGGGAGCTGAGGCTGGGGGGAAGGGGTTGGGAGAGAAACTTCCTTCCTCCCTGGAAGGAGCATATGAGATAGCCTCCCTTGTTCTCTCTCCCAACATACCTCCAGTTCTGCCCTGGGCAGTGTGTGCCCGTGGCCCATCTCTCTGGAGAACCAGCCATTGCCAGACATCTGTGTCTATTTCATTCCTTGTCATGTGCCCACAGCCTTGGTTTTGTCTTACACTTGTTTTGTTGTGTGGTCTTAGGAAAGTCACTGCACTGCCCTGAGCTTCATCAAACACCATTGCACAAACATGCCTTCATGCCTTGAGCATCCATCCTGTCTCTCCATGTGCTGGGGGCTGGGGATACAGAGATGAACAAACTACAAGATGAGGCCAGATCTTTTTCATTCACTATTGTATCCCAGAGCGTCAGGTAGTGCTCGGCATTGACTGGGCAGCTCAATCAATATTTACTGAACATAGACTAGTGACAATTATAAATATATGACGTTTATTATGTGCAAAGGGCTTGTCAAGTGCTAGTTAGTGTGTACTACGTAACTCATTCAACTGTGTGTGAGAGAGACAGAGACAGACAGACAGAGACAGAGAGAGGAAGTCCTGTAGCCCAAAACTAAAGGCCTCTGAGTGGTGACAGGAGATCAAGCTGGAGAGGCAAGCATACGTCAGACCTTTCAGGGCCTCATAAGCCAAGGTAAAGAGTTTGCAGTTCAACCCGAGTTGTGGGGACCCATGGAAGCATTGGAAGGAGGGATGTGATCTGAATTGCACTCTGAAAAGATCCCTCTGGCTGCCGATCCCTTAGGAGACCAGGATAGAACACTCCAGAGTGGCAGCAGAGAGATCAGGGAGGAGCCTCCATATCAGAGATGACTATGTCGTGGCCTAGTGGGCTTGCAGAGAAATGAATGGATCCAAGAGAGTTAGGGGGTAAAATGAACTACAGGAATAGCAAAAGACTGGAAACAACCTGTGCTGGTTTTAAAACATGGCAACGAATTCTTTAGCACTTCTCCTATGGAGAGATGGGATCTCCGTACCCTCTCTTTGTATCTTGCATGAGCTGATGACTGCATGGGGCAAGTGATGCTCCAACTTCCAAGACTAGGACATAAAAGGACATGCACTTCCCCTGGAACTCTGGCTCTTGGTGACCCGAGGAGCCATGGAAGAAGTCTCTCTACCTGGAGGCTGCCATGCTGTGAGGAAGCCCAAACCACATGGAGAGCCCACATGAAGTTACCAGTCCCAGCTAAACTTGGCCTTTGAGCCATCCCAATTCAGGCATCAGACAAGTGAAGAAGCAACCAGATGATTCCAGTCCACAACTGTTTAAATCAGTTTCAGCTCTGATGATAATGGGAGAGGGGATGGATGAGGTTCCAGAGGTGATGGGAAGGGATGAGGTCAAATTTACAGGAGGAATGGGCTTTGAGCCAGCACAGGAAGGATCCAGTATCCTCTGAGACCCAGAGGAAGGAGGGAGGGTGGCCACTGAGAAGAGATACAGTGTGGTTTTTATGAGTTGAATTCTGCATGAAACAGATTCAGGTTTGAATCTTGGTTCTGCCACTCACTGCTTGCATGATTTAACTGCTCTGAGCCTCTGTTTCCCTGACCATAAATTAGAGATATTATTAGTGGTTGCTTCTCAGAGGGGTTATAAGAGTGAAATGAGATATGCACATAAGACCTTTAGTGAAGCACCTGGCACAGAGTAAGACCTCAACAAATGATTGTTGCTACTACCATTATTGTTGCATTAGTTTATAGGTCAGGAGGGCAGGGAGTTGAGTGACAAGACATCTGATAAATTGAATGCTCTGGAGAAAAACAAGAAGCATCATCTATTAAGAAAGAGGAAGGTTTTAGGAGTGCCTGGCTGGCTCAGTCAGTGAAGCATGCAACTCTTGATCTTGGGGCTTTGAGTTTGAGCCCCACGTTAGGTGTAGCAATTGCTTAAAATGTAAATTACTAAAAAAAAAGAAAAAGAAAGAGGAAGGTTTTAGTTCAACAGGAGGCTTAAAAAGGGTGGTGAAACAGACACAAAAGGCCATATATTGTATGTTTCCGTATATATGAAATAGCCAGAGTCAGAAAATCCATCTGAGACAGAAAACAGATTAGTGGTTCCTAGGGGCTGGGGGAAGGAGGGAATGGGGAGTGACTGCTTCATGGGTTTCCTTTTAGAGTGATAGAAATATTCTGGAACTAGATAGTGGTGATGGATGCACAACACTGTGAATGTACTATCACTAATGATGAATTTTATGTTATGTAAATTTTACCACAATCTTTTCAAAGTGTGGTAAAGATTTGGAATAATCAATAATAATGATGGTGGTGGTGATGACAGATGTTACTTACTGAGCGTTTACCATGTGTCAGCATAATTTGTCTTCAGGATAACCTTATGAGGTCACTTGCCTGACGTCACCCACCTGAGGTCATTCAGTCACAATGTGGCAGAATCTGAATTTGCTCTGATGGCTCTGAGGCCATGATCTGTAGAGACAATAGAGTGCATGGCTGTGACTTTCTTTGACAGTGTCTGGAGAAATGGGAATGAAGCAGGAGGCTGCTGGTACTCTAGCTCCTTGGTGAGGGTTCTCCAGGATAGGTGGAGCAGAAAGGGGAGGGCGGTGAATGGGATGCAGAGAGCAGAGGAGAAAACAGATCCCATAATGAACCTCAGGATGGATCCTGGCTCAGTGGGGAAGGATGCCAAGGCAGCTCAGGAGGAGAGCAGATGGATCTGGAGAAGATACAGGAATTCCAGACGGAGGAGCTCAATGAAGTCCAAAAATAGGTAGATGGGAAGAAAGGGAGCCTGAGGTCAGAGTGTGGGACGTTGTAGTTAAAGATTTTAGACGTAGAACCCTGTAAGAGGTGAGAAGATTTACTAAGCCAGTGCTATCCAATAGAAGTTTCTGCAAAAATGGGAATGGTCTAGATCTGTGCAGCTTGAACGGAACCACTGGCCATATTTGGCTATTAAGCATTTGATATGTGGCTAGTGAGCTGATGACTGAATTCTAAATTTTATTGAACCTTAATTACTTTATTTACTTATTTATTTTTAAGTAGGCTCTATGTCCAATGCGGGCTTGAACTCACGGCCCTGACATTAAGAGTCACACGCTCTACCCTCTGAGCCAGCCAGGCACCCCCTAACCTTAACTACTTTAAACTTAAGTTTATTTTTTTTTTTTAAAGATTTTATTTGACAGAGAGAGAGAGACAGCGAGAGAGGGAACACAAGTAGGGTGGGTGGGAGAGGGAGAAGCAGGCTTCCCGTGGAGCAGAGAGCCCGATGCGGGCCTCGATTCCAGGACTCTGGGATCATGACCTGAGCCGAAGGCAGATGCTTAACGACTCTGCCACCCAGGTGCCCCTAAACTTAAGTTTAAATAGCCACATGCAGCTAGTGGTCATCATATTGGACAGTCAGGTGTTGGTGGGACAAACCTTGCTGCCAGGGCCCTACTTTGAGCATGAGTGTCATCTCAGACACCTATTATCCATCCCCTTTCACCTGGTCCTTTTGCCCTGCCCCCCAGTGGTCTCTTCTCTCCATTGTAGCCACAGTGATCCTTTGAGCATGAGTCAGATTCTCATAGGGGAGTCTCATTCCCTGGTCAAAACCCTCTAATGACATCTCATCTTACTCAGGCCAAAAGGAGAAAACTGTGGTGGATTAAAGATGGCCACAAACTCTTTGTCACTCTGCCCTTCATGGCAGGTGGAGTTCTTTCTCCTCAGTCTGAGCTGGCCCGGCCATTGCTTCAACTAACCAAATGTGGCGAAGGCAACGCTGTGGACTTAGCTTTCAAGAAGACCAGCTTCCTCTTCCCTCCTCTTGGAACACTCACTTCTGGAAAGCTCCCTCTTGGACCCCAATCCTCATGCCGAAGAAGCCCAAGCCACATGGAGAGGTCACATGCTGGTGCTCTGGTTGACAGCTCCAGCCAAACTTGCAGCCCACAGTGGGCACCAAACACTGTATGGGACAGCATGGTGTGAGTGAGTCATTTCGGACATGTCCGCCCACTTGAGCCCCCAGATGACATCACACCAGCAGGACTATCCCACTGAATCCCTCGAACCCACAGTATCATGGAGATAATAAAAGTGTTAAGCTATTAAGTTTAAAGATGCTTTGTTATGCAGCAATGACTATCCCAAACCAGTTCTTTTTTGTTTGTTTGTTTTTAAGATTTTGTTTATTTATTTGACAGAGAGAGAGAGAAAGAGCACGAGCAGGGGGAACTGCAGGCAGAGGGAGAGGGAGAAGCAGGCTCCCGCCTGAGCAGGGAGCCTGACGTGGGACTCTATCCCAGGACCCTGGGATCGTGACCTGAGCTGAAGGCAGTCACTTAACTGACTGAGCCACCCAGACGCCCCCAAACCAGTTCTTACTAGCTCCTATGCTTGCCCCTCCCCCACAACCTTACTTACCTCCATAATCTCCTCTTCTTCCATTCCCTCACTCACCACTCCAGCCACACTGGCATCCTTGAGTGAACTAAGCGCATCAGACAAACTCCTATCTCAAGGCGTCAGAGCCTTTGTACTTGTCTGTGTCTCTGCTTTTATTGATCCTTCTCCAGATATCTGCATGGCTAGCTTCTGGCTTTATTCAGACCTCTGCTCATATGTCGCCTTGTCAAAGAGGTTTTATTTAAACACTGTGGTAGAGACATAGACGGCTCACCAAATTTCCATGTGCATCACAGACATTTCTCCGTTCCCTTGAAGTTAGGCAAAACCATGTGATTAGTTCTGGCCAGTGAGATCCAGGTCTCCAAAGAGAGCCTTGGCTGCAGATTTTCTTGGAAGAGAAAGAACAGAACTTCACATTCATTTAGTTAACAGAAAACCCTGAAAACAACTGAGGGTGAGAACTTGGGTTGCTAAGAAACCTCCTAGAATGGGGGAGATGTTTGGCATCCATTGCTAGGCAACCTAAAAGAAGCTAGATGGGCAGGTTTGGCTGCAAGCAGCTTTCCCCCTCCTTTTCATAGGCTCCCTGAATGCCAGACTGGATATGCTCTTAAACACTCCTGGTCCAATGACCTAACTGCATAGATGGGGAAACTAAGGCCTCAAAAGGCAAGATGATTAGCCCAAATTCCCTCTAATTTCTCAACAAGAGCAAAGACAAATGGCATAGGAGGGCATTGTCTTGGGGAGTGACCTGGCATGGCTGAGGCCGAGCTTTAGGGAAGAGCTGGTAGCCGAAGAAGAGTCTATAAAACAATAAAAAAGTCAACTGTAAAAGGTCTTGAAAGCCAGGCCATGAATCTTAGCCTTCATCCTGAAGGAAATGGGGAGCCACTGAAAGGTTTCAGAGGAAGTCACGTTTGTTTTCTTTTCTTTTCTTTTTACACAGACAAGTACAAAGGCTCTGACACCTTGAGATAGGAGTTTGCCTGATGCGCTTAGTTCACTCAAGGATGCCAGTGTGGCTGGAGTGGTGAGTGAGGGAATTTATTTATTTATTTATTTTTAGAGAGAGAGCAGGAGGAGGGGCAGAGGGAGAGGGAGAGAGAACCCTAAGCAGACTCCCCGCTGAGGGCAGAGCTGGCCATGGGGCATGATCTCACGACCCTGAGATCATGACCTGAGCTGAAACCAAGAGTGAGGGGCTTAACCAGCTGATCCACCCAGGTGCCCCAGTCACGTTTGTTTTCAAAAGACTCCTTAGGCTCGGGGGCACCTGGGTGGCGTAGTCCTTTAAGTGCAGGACTCTTGGTTTCAGCTCAGGTCGTGATCTCAGGGTCGTGAGATCCAGCCCTGCGCCAGCTCCATGCTCAAGCTCCGAGCGTGCTTGAGTTTCTCTTTCCCTCGTCCTCTGCCCCTCCCCGACACGAGCGCCCATGCACGCTTGCCCTCGTTCTCTCTCTCTCTCTCTCTCTCTCAAATAAATAAATAAATAAATAAATCTTTAAAAAGAGCCCATGGGCTGCAGTGTGGAGACTCAGGACAAGGTCCCAATGCCCTCAAGGTGCTTCCCGTCCTTGCCAGTCCATCTCCTCTCTCCCCACCACCTCCTCCAGCCACAGCCAACTCTGTTCCACGCCCTCGTCTCTTGCCGAGTCTTCCCACTTGCAGTTACTGGTGTCTGGAAAGCTTTCTCCTTCATCTGAATCTGCTTAGTCTTATTGTTCTAGTTATAGCTGCTGCATGACAAACTGCCTCAGAACTTAGTAGTGTGAATAACCACAATTTCATTACGACCATGGACTCTGTGGGTCAGGAATTCAGACAGGGTAAGAGGGGATGGCTTTAAAAAAAAAAAAAGAAGAAGAAGAGGGGATGGCTTGTCTCTGCTCCATGATGGCTGAACCTTAGCTGGGAAGACACTGCTTCAGCTGGGAGTGACTTGAATGACTGGGTGCTAGAATCACCTGGAGCCTCCTCTGCTCACGTGTCTGGCACCTAAGTAGGTGCCTGCATCACCTGGAGCACCTAGGTGGAGTCTCTCCACATGTTTTGGAATTCTTCACTGCATGACGATCTTAGGGGTGTTGGACTTCTTATTTGGTGGCTCAGTGTAGAAACCTACAGCATCTTTCTGCTACATTCTATTGGTTACAAGTGGATCATGAAGGCCAGCCCAGACTCAGGAGGAAGGAAATTTATGGAAAGAATGTCAAATAACTTGAAGCCGTGTTCTAAAACCACGTCAACCTACTGAGGTCTCAGTCACAGCTTAAACATCACCTTCTCCATGAAGTGATCTGACCATGCCCTGCTCCATGTCTGGATTAAGTGCCTCCTCTGTGTGCCCCCAGCCCCACTGTCCACCTCCATCAGTGCATTTCCATCCCTCTGTTTATGTGTCTTTCTCCTCCTCGGGACTGTGAGTTCAGTGAAGACAGGCCATGTCTGTCTTTTTCACCTTTGTACTCAGCACCCAGCACAGAGCCTGGCAAAAGCAGACCCTTAATAGATGTTGAATGGGTGAGTGAATGAATGATTGAATGAGCTAAGGCAAGGAGTCCAATGTAGAAGCCATTCCTTCCTTGTGAAGCTGACATACTAGTTAGAGAGAGATACAAAATTAAAATTGTATATGATAAATACCACAGTGATAAATGCTATTAAGAAAAATAAAGCAAAGTAAGGGGATAGTGTAAGGGTGTGTGTATGATACTTTACAAGAATGATCAGGGAAGGGGCGCCTGGGTGGCTCAGTCACTAAGCATCTGCCTTCGGCTCAGGTCGTGATCCTAGGGTCCTGGGATCGAGCCCCGCATCGGGCTCCCTGCTCCGCAGGAAGCCTGCTTCTCCCTCTCCCACTCCTCCTGCTTGTGTTCCCTCTCTCACTGTCTCTCTCTATCAAATAAATAAATAAATAAAATCTTAAAAAAAAATGATCAGGGAAGACTTTTTGAGGTAGCGACGTTGGAGCCAAGACCCCAAGAAGTGAGGGAGTAAGCCCTGTGGGTATCTGGGAGAAGAGCATTTCAACAGAGTGAACAGCAAAGGGCTGGCTATTCAAAAGGGCTGAAGTGGGCATGTGCTTGGTAGTTTTAGGGAACGGCAAGGAAGCCAGTGAGGCTACAGTATGGCAAGGGAAGGGAAAAGCAATAGAAGAGGAGTCCCATGGGGGGCCACAAGCTAGAATACATAGGATTTTGCAGGCCATGCTGAGGACTTTGGCTTTTAGTCTGAATGAGATGGGCACCAGTGGAGGGTTTTGAGCAGAGGTGGGACATAGTCTGATTTATAGTCTAACCAGATCCCTCTGGCTGCGTGGACAACAAGACTGTGATTGAGGCAAAGGAGAAAGCAAGGAGTCCAGTGAGGAGGCTGGTTCAGGATACCAGGCAAGAGATTGGGGGGGTGGGGCGCGGGACCATGAGGGTGGCCATTGAAAAGGTGAGAAGTGATAGGACACAGGACACATTTTGAAAGTAGAGCCAACAGGGATAAGGGATATGAAGCTATGGGGGAAAAGGAGCTAAGGATGACCAACAGGTTGTTGGCCTTTTAGTCATGTGAGATGTGAAGATGTGGGGTGGGGAACAGGCTTGGAAGCACTGTGGAAACAGGAATTCATGTTTAGGCATGCCAAGTTTGAGGTGCCAGTTAGACATTCCAGTGGAGGTGACAAGAAGGCAGCTAGACATGAGTCTGGCAACATCAGGATGGAGATACGGACTTGAGAATCCACAGCTATGTTAACAGGAATTCTAAGATGGCTCCAAGACTGCCCCCCCAACCCATGGTGTGCATGCCCAGAATAACCTGCTACTCTCCTCCGTGTGGGTGAGACCAGTGAGTATGATGGATGTCATTCTTGTGATTAGATCACATTATATGGCAAAGGTGAAGAGATTTTGCAGATGTGATTAAGGTCCCAAATTAGCTGAGTTTTAGTTAATTAGAAGCGAGACTTCCCTGGGTGGGCCTGATCTAATCAAGTGAGTCCTTTTTTTAAAAATTTTTTTAAATTTATTTTTTTAATTATTATTATGTTAATCACCATACATTACATCATTAGTTTTTGATGTAGTGTTCCATGATCCATTGTTTGTGGAGGTTCCTCAAAACGTTGAAAATAGAGCTACCATACGATCCAGCAATTGCACTACTAGGTATTTACCTCAAGTGAGTCCTTTAAAAGAGAGCCTTCCCTGGGGCACCTGGCTGGCTTAGTCACTAGAGCATGTGACTCTTGACCTTGGGGTCAGGAGTTCCAGCCCCATGTTGGGCACAGAGACTACTTAATTAATTAATTAATAAAAGCCTAGGTGCCACTCTGTGAGAGAGCCTGGGAAGATAGACACTGGGAGTGGTCCTCAGGATTCAAGAGTGGCACCAGCTGACAGCCAGGAAGGACACGGGGATCTTGACCCCAAGGAACTGAATTCTGCCCACCACCACGTGAATTTGGAAGAGGACGCTGAGCTCCAGAAAGGAATGCAGTCCGGCCAACACCTTGATGCAGGCCTGGGAGATCCTGAGCAGAGAACCCAGCTAAGGCATGCCTGGATTCCTGGCCCACAGAGACTGAAAACAATAAATGCGTGTTATTTTAGGCTGATACATTTGTGGCAATTTGTTATCCAGAAATAGATAACCAGCACCTCAGTGTATAGGTGTTTTTAAAGCCTTGGAACCAAGATGGTTCAAATAGCCCAGGTCTGGGATCCCATGGGGATGAGTCAATGACTGCATGAACCCTGTGAGATTGGAGTGGGACACACCCCACCCCCAACCCTCAAATGCTTCCTATTCCTTTCAGCCTCTAGGTGTCCCCAGAGTCCACATAAGCAGATCTCTCCCCACCTTTTCCAGGTCAGAATCCATTTCCTTCTGAAATGGGAAGAACCAAGTAACAATAAATGGTCTCTCTTCCGTTCCTACTTTCCCCTCCCGAACTTTACATATGGGGAAACTGGGGCCTGCAAAGAAGCCCTGCCCAAGGTGCCACAGCGATCTAGGGCTATCCCTAGCCAGGCACTTTATTTACCCTCCCACGGCATTCTGAAGGACAAGAAGACTGACCAACTCCCTCTCTCCAGCTTTGACCAGGGGAGGGATCTGCAGTCACTGGTAGGCTGAGGCTGCAGTTTCTCATTGATGCCCACTGGAAAGGGTGCAGCCCTGAGGCGGGGGCTGCCGGCCTGTGTGGAGAAGAGACCCCTCCAGAGGTCAGGGGCATCAGAAGTGCCCAGCTGCGGGTACAGGGCCAGTGACCCAATTCCCTCTGTCCGGCCCCTCGCACCTTCCGTTGCAAACTGAG